TTGTTGTTGTTGTTGTTGTTGTTGTTGTTGTTGTTGTTGTTGTTGTTATGAGGCCATGAGAAAAAGATTCAGATAGGCTAGTGCCACTGGTACTTTGCTTGAGTTGACGTACTTAGTTACTTGGTGTTGCTCTAACATTGTGGGGGCGTGACCTGTATGTTGCTGCAACACATGGGAGTCCATTTAACAATTCGCGTCTTGGGGACCCCACGAGTCCAGCTGAGTCCAAAGCGCAGGTCGATGCGTCCGGGAACGCTTGGGTGGCGGGCGATACAAGAAGTTCCCTGGATGGAAACACCAACGCGGGTGGCTCTGACGTGTTTCTGATGAAATTCCAGGCTCGTTGTTTGGTTCGAGAAGGTTGTTGTCGGTTCAGTCGTACACTTGACTAAGAACCTGTTCAAGAGAAATTGCCGATTGAGAACCCATGTTGTATGGTTGTCCTTTTCCAGACCTTAGTAACTTAGTTGTACCAGTACGGGAGTCAGAAGCAGGTGGAAGGAAGGATGAAAACAATCAGTCTTTTGGCCAATCAAGAACATGGACGAACTGTATACCACCAATCTCAAAACGGAGATCTGAAACTAAGTCATTGCCGTCGATGGTGCCATCATGGAATGACGCATTCTGCCAATTCTGCCCACAAAATATTTCTGAGCACTGTGGCAAATCACGGTGTCGCCCATGCCACTGCCACAGCCAATGAATTGGGTGGCAGCGCTCGGCCACTACCAAATGTACACACGTTGCTTCATGGTCAAACTGAGGGAAGCAGTCCTTGATTGAAAGTGGATCATTGCTTGCATTCCAAGATGCTGGAAACTGATAGGAACCAACCCAAGTACTTTTGGCACATTGGGGGCATGCAGAAGTTTGCCCCTCACTCACAGGCACATTCCGTGTGGCAAACTCTACAGGGTACTAGCAAACTTGAAAGCACACCGCTTGAACAGCAAGGAACATAGCCCATACAGTAGCCGCTTGTGTTTCGCCATGGCACAGAAGTCCAGGGGCAGATGTTCGGACTTGAACACCCATTGACTTGGGAAAGACGCTTTACAATGAGTGAACCGAACCTGTTATCCTAGAGCAACGCCACACTCGTGAAGGCCATCAAACTTTATGGTTGTGTTGATGGTGTTAAGTGTCCACTGGGTGCGATCAAACTAGTAAACTATGTAACTGTAACTGTAAAACTATATAGTGAGAACTGAACAATTTGAGCCAATCAAGAAGACACCAAATAGGGATCCCGTGATCCACTTGTTGTTCCTTTTGCATGAACATATTGCTGTTCCTATTTTTATTCTTATTGGTTGTATTGAATGTTACCCAAACTGCAAAGCTTGTCTGACAAGTCATATAGAATCCTCAAAGACAGTCATGTAGAATCCTCAAAGACGATAAGACACAAATAGGAACAATAGAAACATCAAAGAACACATTTAGGACCTAACATAGGCAGTACAATCCGGACTCCACTTTTACGTTGGTTTTCCTATTGTTTGTATTATAGTTTTTTGTTTTGTCCTATTGTCAATCCCATATTATATATAATTGGTCGTACTTGTGTTGCAATTAGTTCTCATGTGTTTCATTGTTCGTAAGCAAATCCCGAGCTTCATTTGGATCACCACAGCTTTAAGGGGTCACCTAGGTTTGCTACAGAGGCAAAATGCAAGCACACACATGAAAAAGCAACACAGCAATGAGTGACCAGGCACAAAAAGTCACAGCTCACGGCTCACACAGCATTTGCGTGGATATATTAGTTAAGTGCTGAAAGCATTCTCTCTCTTTGTACTACTGCATTTGTTATTGTCAGGTTCGAACCAACATAGGAGCACGGCCTTCACTTCACGCCAGACGGATAGACAGTGGCAGAGTGACAGACGGCTAACGCGAAACATGTCGAGTTCGGTGACTTGCCATGGTTCGGGTGCACAAGGTTCAGGTTAGAGCACGCTATCAAATGGGCTGTTTGTGCCGCGGGCTGGGGGTAAACCATCCTAGCACAGTGAAGCGCTGTTGGAGGCCGCCAGCACGGTGACCAGCAAGACTTCGACCAGCCGCAGCACGACCTCAACCAGCACTGTGTCCAGATCCACGTCCGTTACTACTATATCAACGAGAACCGCCACAGAAAGTTCAGCTGTCCTTTTCGAGTTGCTAGGCTTCAGAAATCTTCAGAACAACCTGGTGATCGGTTCTTGGTGTTGTGGGTAGTTGAATAGCCTTCCGCAGCCATGGGCCCAGCCGTGAAGCGCCGTGTGAAACACAGCGGTCGTTGGTTGATGCGGAAAGCTCGAGGAACAGATGAAAGTTTGCGGAGGAACAATGAGAGACGGCGACAAAGAGATCGCGTTTGTTTAGATGTGGTGTGTTTTTTTCAAGGAGTAGTTTCTTCCAGTATACTGAAAAAGTTGACATCATCAGCATCATTTGGTGACAGTGCCTCACTGAGGCCGTTGCCGGATGTAGATGCTCGGCAAAGCATGTGACGTTGTAATTGCGAAGAACGTGTCTTTGGAGAGATGAAACTGTGGAAAACGTTCTAAAAGGTGACTAGATTGACGTGTAGATTGACTATCATTGAACGGTGTGGATATGTCAGAGTCGTTTTGTTTTATTGCTTATGATAAGTAATTCTTAGCTTTGCTATATACTGAGGATTGGCAAGCATCAACTCTGGATACAGTGGGTTTGGAGCAGCTCGTGCAGAAACCGCAGATATCAAGCACTTTGACCCCTTCGGTAGAGGATGGCAAAGACTTTTCCACTGGGTTGACAGCAGCGGAGGACATTCCCGCTGGATTGCCACTTGTCAATTTTACCAAAGACATCCAAAGACTATTGTTGGCAGGAGTTGAAAAACGACAACAACAACATCAACAACAAAAAACAGCAAACGCCAAACACAACCACCACAACAGCAACAGCAACAACAAATGCTCAGCACCAACTACGCGTTGTCAACTGCCATCATTCGCAAATTCCACAAACAAGCCTTTTGGCCCAAACAGTTTGTCAATATTTACTCAACATAGCACCATGCGCAACACAATTTGAGCCATTTGGAGCAGGTTGGCCATCGTCGCAGTGCTTGCTGCGCTGACCTGTTTGTTCGCCAGCCTTGGTATTTTCTGCTGCTATTGGAAGCTTCAAGGCGGGACTTCGCACAGCCTGGACATCGACAGCGAACGGAGAACGTGTGGATTCACCAGAGGGTCAAGAGGCAATTGTTGCTGGTGTTGCTTTATGACGAGCAGATGCTTAGAAACGGTTGATGGAAATGAGTTCACTGAGCTCAAAAGTAGAATTCCACATCTTCCACATTGACCCTTGCCATTCGCCGAAATGTTGTGCAAACATGGAAGACAGCACCAGCTGCATCACAGTTCCAAACTGGACAGCGCAGCTGCCATCATTTAGGTCTTTGTGTTGCAGCAACATTTAGGAAAGCAGCTGATTTTGTTTAACAAGATGTCATAATCTAATAAATACCGTAAATGCCCCTAGTGTGGCCTCCCTGTTTGGGGAATATTTATCCAACAAATATGAATCTCCAAAGGCTGGGTGCCTGAGACTGAGGAAGCCCTGGCCGCATGGACTGCCCATCAGTTTTACGGACGCGTTTTTTTCTCAGGAGCAGCGCAAGCAGAGCTTCCCATATGTCACATCTCCAATCCGACGGCACTTCCTTCCTTGACTCCGTCGATGGCATTGAAACCTCTCCTTTTCTCTTGGAGCTCCAGGACGGATGGGGTTCTGATTCTCATCATTGAAGTAGTTGTGTTTTTCCTTGACCCAAAAAGGGTCCAATCAACCAATGCACCATCGAAATTGCCAATACAGCAGTACAATGTAACATTGAAAGAGCTGCGATCAGAAGCATGAAGGGTATCTATAGAGCATACCCAGACACATGTTTGTTTTGTTTGGACATTTCAGCTTATCTCCACAGCACTGAATTCTTGATCCAAGATGCTGGCTTTCCCTGCAGGATGACTGCTGAGTGGCCGCGGGGCAAAGTGCAAAAGCTTGTAGCAGCTCAACCCCAGATCATTCTACCATGTTGATCCATTTTGGTATGTTTGTGTTTATCTCTAAATATTAAATATTCACATATCTATATATATATAGATATAGAGAGAGTGTTGAATGGTCAACCATTTTCGATGTTAAATCGTGGCAGCTGGAAATTGGCAAACCACGGGATCGAAACGCAAGGCTTACGACGTTTTGTAGCGGGAATGGTGGTGTGAAGTGAGGACATGTTTTGGTTTCGGATCAGTTCACCTATTGATGTGTCTTTGGGTAAAGTCTTGGCTGAAATATCAAACAAGTCCAGCATCAAATCGGCGAGACATGTATCGCCTCGCCTGACACAGCTTTGCTTGGAGGTGTCCGAAGCTGGTTTTGAAGCTTGTGGTCGCCACTATGAATTTTGCAAGTTGGAAAATGGGTGGCACTTCGTTTGGGAAGATGGCACCGTGCAGAAGGTTGAGAGCATCCGCGGGACGCTGGTCAAATCCGAAATGATTTCTGTAGCGAACCCACAATCGGCCAAACAATTCACAACAGTCAATGATATTCAAGAGAAAGCGTTGTCCATCGCTTTTCTTGTTTGAGAAATTCCTTTAAGACTGAAGTGATCTGGGTTTTTGGATTGATGTTTGGTTTAAGCATGGATCACATGTAGCCATTTAGCACTGAGTTTGTGGGTCCAACCTCTCAATTCAACATTGCCCGAGGAATATTCTGCAGTGGAGGACGCAGCATCCGCATCCAGCGTGGCAAGACTTCAGGTGCAGCAATTGACATGAATTGCATTGCAACAGATATATAGTCATGCTGAAAGTGTTTGGATTCCAAACGCATGAAGAAGAAGTGCGTCCAAGCCTGAAACATTTGAAGTAATTACAGTTTGCCCGATTGAGGTGGATTTGCACTCCCAGATGTTGCATTGAAAATCACCATGACATGAAGCCGTCAGATTTTGGCCCCTACAGATGCTTGACATAAGGAGTACATAAGGGTCGAGGGATGCCACAGCTGCGAAACCTAGCGTTTTCCAAGCCTCGTCACCGTGTGAATCATCGGAATCATCACTTTCAGTTCAATGTTGCAGTGTCATCATCATCAAGTAATTCGACATGATTCAACCGAATTGAAATCAGTTTGGCTACGTGCCAAGCAGGAGGCAACATGCAGTTGATGTGTTTTTCTCCAAGGATGCGGGTTATGCGCACGTTCCTGCACTGCTGAAAACCATTGGAACTGCCAGCAGCACCAGGTGCCCAAGCAGCAAAGATGTGACTTCAGGGAAAGCAGAAGGGAACTAGGGAGCTATGTGTTGTTATTTGTTCAGCAAGATGATGCAAACTCAACAAAATCAGCATTATTGGTCTTTTTTGTATCTTGAAGGAGCATTGGCAAGCACGCTGCTGGCTTTCAACAGCAACTTGTTGGATCTTGGTTTGACAGGTGCATCTTTGCCCCGTTTGTGCTGAGCTGCCGCCGGAAGTGCCTACATTGGGCGTGGCAGCTGCATATTTGGTCAACATTTTTCCACCTCTGGCTCGCAGCCACTTGGAAGTTGCAAAGGACCGCTTTCCAATTGAGGCCAGATAAAAACACTGGAGTGAAAACCGAGGAGCAACTGCTGATGAGAGTCCGAATTTCTATGCCATTTGCCCACTCTTGGCACACGGCGAGAACGGCCTCTTGCCTTGAGAAAGGCGAAAAGCAAAGGCTGGACGAAGGGCTCACGAGGTCTCAGGGGTCCGTGACGTTGACAGGTGCTTGGTTGAGTCATAGATGTCTCCGAACCAGGCTTGAATGGCTAAAGGGCGGGCATTTCGGGGTGCTGTCACTGTAACATGTCGCACTGCTTCAAGTTGAGTGGGGCCATGTTTCACAACAAGTTCTTTTGACAAGGCATGGGCTATGACAAGACATGTCCCCGGGACGGTCGGCCTCGCTGCAGCATCGTGGATGCTTTGGACGATGCACACAGCGGACGCCCGGCTTGGCTTAAGGCACCAAAAGAGCGAGAATCCTGTCGTAGCAATTTTTGGATATGTTCAGCTGTGCTGAAAATATGGCTGTGGCCTGAAAAAGCGACATGCCCCTCAAAAGCAATAACCTTGATGAGTCATGTTGAATATTGTCAATATTGTAATTGTAATCATGTCCTTATCGTTTCTTTCAAGACGTTTTGGCAGACCCTCATGTGATCTCATGTGTACAATTTGTTCTATATCATAGAAACTTGGGCCATCGTGACAGACATGACAGGCGTCATAAACTAAACTGTTTCAGATTCTTGCTGTAGGTGGCATCCCACCATGCATGTCTCTCTCTTCAGGAAAAGTAACGCACTTTGTCTCTTGGTGCTGGGCATATTCTTTAAACGATGTGGTCAGCTCCATTGAACGATGGCTGCAGAAGTCCGGTGAAGATCCACTCAGCGTTTTCCTGTGGATGTGTTTTTTCTGCAACAACCAGTATCGCATCAAAGAAGAGGCACCCCGGCAGGGAAAAAGGTCAGGAGGCGGCTTTGACCACTCTCCTCTTCATCACTTGTTTTATCTTGTTTTGTTTTCAAATTTAATAACGTGTTTTGTTGTCATCAGCCTAAACAGATCGGTCTTGTGTCCGGAGTTTGGAAGACATACCGAACACCCCTCAAATTTGAGCGAAAGTTGGAATCCGGAAAGTTGTAGTGTATCCTCCGTATGTTTAAAGCAACGGACACAGCAGCTACTATGTGTTAACTGTTGTCCTAGATTAATGTGGTACCTTTGTATTGGTCATCGTTTCTGGGTTCCGGCCGACCTCCACAGTTTTGGAATGTTTTGGATATAGTGTTAATATATCAAGTACAGGCAGCTTGACTAATAAGTTAGTAGATTATATATATATACCCTAGAAGTCGAACCACCATTGTTTTAATAGCCTTTACCGAACAACCATTGTTTCACTAAGGGGCTTACACTACAAAACCAGATGAACATTTTGTTTAATGGTCTTTGACTTCCAGGGTATATATATATATATGCGGCGCCGGATGCACAGAACTAGTAATCAATTTGCTGATCTTATTCTATGTCAGTTGAAGATTGGAAGACTTGGTGAAACATGATCAATTTGTCTAGATGTTTGCTCGGTGTTTGACACCTCTGGAGGCCATTCAGACACCCAGTGAAGATTTGAGGGGGATCTTCGAATCGCATTTGGTAGAAGCTGGCCGGATGCTGGTGCTGCTGGACACCGTTCTGTCGGGAGCTTACTTTGATGACCTTTGATGACAGGGTATTACGGTATTCGTATTAGTGTTACTTTGTGCAACTGATTCCTTGCAAAAGAGCGTGGGAGAAGAGAGAATTTGGCACGTCCCTTTTTCGCCGCAATCTTCGCCGAGGGAACCGACCTATGTGACCCGCGCCTGGTGCATCTTCGAAAGTTACGTCGCTCGGAGGGGCAGCCGGCCCCTGTTTCACCACGCCACAGAGGGGTAATGTTTGTGTGTGTGCGAGGGTTTGGGAGACGGAAAGTTATGACAATGCGCCGTCAGCGGCTATTCTTTATAGCTGTATTGTCGCGACAAAAGGATACACAAAGATTGTCTATATATACATGAGTTGAAAAGGGTCAGAGCCCATCATCACGTCTACCTTGAATGTGTTTGAGGTCAGCATTGCACAAGACATACCAATGGAGATCATCCTCCCCAGAACAGCCGAGAACTTCTTCCAAGAGACCATGCGTTGTGGCGGGTGGCTTGCCATGATTTGCTCGGACCCGGAGCTGTTTGCCGTGGCACGGACCTGCTGGCAGTGATGTGCTTTTCAATACCCAGACACTCCATGGGACTGCCATATATGCCTACCTTGACCCCCAAAACCACCCCAATGTAGGTAAATATACCATACATGGAGTGTCTGGGATAGATGAGGGTTCAAGATTGTTCAAACTACCAACTCCCTTGTCAGCACCTTTGCATTTTGTTGTCCATCAATTGGTGTTCTTTCGCCAAGCATCCGGCGTTCTGTAGTTTTTCATCCAGCACTAGGCCGTAGGGAACCAGACCCAGCTGGAGGGCGTCTTTGGGGGAATCCTCACATCATGAAATGACGGTGATCAAGGCAGACCCCAGACAGTATCCGGTAATCATAAAACATTGTTCCTTGGATTCCTTCATGTTTGGGTTTCTTGAAGTGTTCCACGCTTTTCAAACACACAAAGCAGTTTCGAAAGAAGAAACCTGTAACGTAAATGGCCATCCAAAGACTGTCAAAAGAGAACTGCATGGCACTGCATGGAGAATTGATCCAGATTGACACCTCCCTGGTGTTGTCCCGCCGCCTAGGATTGATCTTTTAACGCAAGGCGTGCACGAATTGGACGTTCGACGCGCCAAAGCTGGATCTCTGGCAGATGAGGCGCAATATGGCGCAATGAGTTTGGATTGAATCAGCAGTTTTCCATCAGCTGCCAAGGCGTAGATTCTCAGTTTGATGCCAATTTGATGCCCTGTACGTGCTGCGTGACATTCGTCGACAGGACTTGATCAAGAGAATCATCCTCAACACCACGGGCTTTGACGTTGTAAATCATGCCGTCCGCTCTCGCTTGGTGGACCAATTGACCGTCTTGCGCCGCGACAAGGAAGTTTGATCGTCGATCCAAGGGACACTCATTTCTTCTCACAAAACCTTCCTATTCACAAGCCGCGTGGTTTCAACTAGCAACTAGCATGTTCTGTGTGTGTTCTTTTTCCTCACTGGGGGGATGAGAGGACAAGTTCTTGAATGATGCACATGGCTAGTAGTTGGGTCAATTGGTGAATTTAAATTAAACTGAAAACATTGAACTGTCTGTTGAAGTGTTTTGCCAGTGTAAACATTGGCAAATCATCATCCAATAAAAGACCCATCATAGAAGACATGAACAGCTTCTGTATACTATGATGTATATTATGGACATGTGATGACACGTGTATCAGTTGGGTCTGTGCTATTACCTGTAACAGTCAGTAAACAATTATCATCATTTTTGATCATTTTTGCACAAGGCCTTTACTAACAATCATCATCCACTGTTACAGGTAATAGGATAGACCCAATGTATCAGTGTATCTATATCTGAGATGCAGGGCACTTGCTAGTGGATATTAGTAGTCGTTCTGGAATTTGGACAGTAGCCAGTAGCACAATGCAGGACAGACTGCTCAGACTGGTGAAAGTAAGTTGCCTCAAGGCTGTGAGCCAAATTTGAGGTTTCGGGAGCTTTTGATGCCGCGACCGCCCTGAAGCAAGTCTTTTTTCCATCAGTTTGTTGCGGCGGGCTTAGACATGTCTGGGTCAGTGGCTCATGATCAACCACAAGGATTTACAAGTCTTGTTTCAATGCTGCAGTGATTGTGTCCACTATGCTGACGCTGCAACTTGGGCAGATTCATCATGAGCCAAATTCAGCCACAGAGCACTTTGTGCCAAATTCAATGACATGCATAATTTTTTGACTCCAGGGCAATGTCCCACGATTTTATCAGCCCATGCTCGATATGGTTCGCATAGTGTAGGGTGATGGTGAGCAGAGTCTGTCGGCCTTCAGGATGACAGCCCGATGACGGCGCATTTTCACAACGATCCAAAAGCTAAAAAATATATTCAACGCTTGTCTCACGAAGCGACACGCACTCTCACCATGTCCTGGGATGAAGCTCGCGATGAAGCGGAGCTTGGCAGTGCAAAAACGACTTGGCTTTGCCGCAGTTGCATGTTTTTAATGGTTTATATAGGTTACCAAAGTTGCTCCTTCCATGTTTTGTTGCTCGGCTAAACTGGATCATCCTGCTGCGCTGAAACTTAGTGCTGGATTAATTAATTCATTACAATAGATTGAGTCCTTTGAGCGTTTTTGGCTCAGGTTCAATTGACATCTATACTGCATGCTGTTAGTTTTGCTTAGAGTGTATTTGACACGGGTTCGACATGCATTGCAACATATTGCAACATGTTTTTCAGACTCGAACAAGTTGCATTCAGCCGAAGCAAGTACTTGGATTGAGTCAACTCAATTCAACTTGACGGAAGGCAACGGAGGTAGAGAGGGAAAAGACACATATCTAATATATTCTAATCTCATTTAATAAACCTATCTATACAGATAAAAACTACCATTGAGGTCCATCAGGAAACGACTTCCAAACATTACATCACGTCACTTTGCGCATCGATCCTGGCACCTTTTGTCCCTCGCCATGTGACGGTCGCCGTCGCCACGTGACCGGCGATGCCGCCCGGTGCGGCATCTCAGAGAGACGAGACGTACGGAGCTCCCGGGTATGAGATCAGGGGACTGGCAGGCATACAACGCCATGACTGGCGTTGGGGTGGTGGATTGATTGATTTCAGGGGGTCCATATGGGTCAATGTATGTACTGTAAATGGAATCTGAATGAAAGTAGGGAGTCCTCCCAGTTCCGACGACCAAAAGGAAAATAGACCACAAGAATTTATTTGGATCATTATGTCTTCAACGGTAAAGTTTGAGGACACCTCCTTAAGACGTTTTGCACCAATTCTTATGAACACATCGTGGGATTCCACGGGCAGTTCTTTTGAATTCCCGTACTGCTTGTTGTGGTTCAAGGAGCCGGAATCCCACAGCCCTCCAACAGTAGGCATTTCTATGAGTTTGTGGGCAAGGGGCGGAAGGAAGGATAAACCCGGCGGGTCCTATGTGGTGCAGCAGGCTCCTGCACTAAAAAAGTGTTTTGCTTCTCTGAATGCAGTGGCTCCATTGGTTTCGATATTGGACACAGATGCCTGGTGACAGGTAATTTTAGGGTCTTGGACCCGCAAAATGCATTATAAATATATAATCTCTCAAACGGCGGTGGGGCAAAACACCGTAATTCTCAAATGTTTGAAGTAACTGGGCCACGCTCACCTACTCCCAGCCGAATTGTTTTTTTAGAGTCTAGGCTCAGGCAATGAGTGCTATGGCCGCACGATCAGCTTTTGTTCGCTCATCTCAGTGTCAATGACTGCTCTCCTGAAGCATCCTGAAACTCAAGAGTTTTGGAAGTAGATGGAAGTGATAACCTCCAACCTCTCTTTGCTTGCTGTTTGATTCGCAGGGCTACGCAAGCCAGCCGCACAGGAGCGCGTTTTCGAGCAGGGTCTGCCTTCACCAGGGAATCACCAGATCAAGGCATGCCCACCAAGGAAAAGCAGGAGGCAGATCCAATTCCAAGATGCTCCATGTATAACTAAATCAGACATATTCCTCAGGAAGTACGTGGATCACCTGCAAAATCCTTTTTGGGAGACTGCCGTTCCCCACTCCACTTCAGGGGTCAAGTTCGTTCGTTCGGTGAACCTTTTTGTCCAGGGATCGAGTGAAATGGCATGGGAACGTTGATTCTATAGGAGGTGACACGTCAGACACGCGGTCCGTGCAGATGCAGACCGTCAGTCGCAGACAGCCCAGGAGGAGAGTGGATGTCAGGGACCCCGATTTTGGGGCCGAGGGAAGACTGGGTGAAAGCCGAGGGAAGACCTGTTGACATCCTTGGATCCCATTGATGCCACCAACCCCCCAGGAGTCATTGAGTCCGAAGACAAGCGCATGAGAAGCCCTTGAAAAACATCCCCGTACTCAAAGCAATCCTCCAATAGATGGTCAACTCAGAAGGGGGGCCAACTCAGGAGGGTGGCTGAGAGGGTCGCCGAGGATAATTGAATACTTTCAGACGAGCACCTTCCTTTCCCGGACTTCAGGGAACAGGAAACCAGAGGAAAACCCATCTAGTTTGAGGATGTTTTCATTCGGGAGGTCGAACTGGGATGAGGTCTATATACCTCTTTTTGAGACACACCTGGCGCAGGACCCAGGACCCAGCACATTGATTCATCGAAACAGCGCTAAGCGCGGCCGCCCCATGGCTCCCGAGGCCCTTTGCCTCCCTATCGCTCCTCCGTGCACCCGCCGCTGCGCACGGCGCTGGCCTCGCACCCGCGGAGCGCCTTGGAGCTCGGATGGTTCGATCCGGCGGACCGGCTCGGTCGGCTCAGACGGCTCCCGCGCGGACCTCGTGCGGGCCACTCTGCGCTGTGCAGCGCAGAGTCCAGGGGTTCGGGACAACGACTGGAGCTTGGCCGATTGAAGAGTGGCCACAGCCATAGACCAGCCATGTTCCAATGGCAATACCGCGCTACATCCAATGCCGGCCTGAGGCTTGTGGCCATATATACGAACGGTGAGCAAGGTGGTCACCACGAAACGTCCCACCGAAACAGTCCGCTCACGGAGGTCTTTGCACCCCAGCGAAAACGGGCCGTAGAGGGGAAGGCGCTGGGAGATGATTATAGAGTGGTACTCTTGTGGGCCATCCAGGGCACGATGCTTTGCTCAAAAAGGGCAGCTCATATTATCATATTGTTCAATCTTTGTTTGCAAGGGCTGCTTTACAGTGTCAGATTGTAGCAATCATATAGTGGCAGTAATTATTTTGTCTAGCAAGCCAAGAAGGCCACGATGAGCTGAGACTTAGTACACAACGTATATTCTACAGCCCCGACTTGCTACTCCGCGCCTCAGTTTGTAAATGGGCTCGCAGTTCGAAAGGCTCCCATTTAAGAAGTATGGGCAGGGCGAGTGTCCTGGAAGCTGGCTGACTGCGACCCTCCCGCTCTCTCTCTCTCTCTCTCCGTGTAAGTCAACAAAGGCCTCCTGGGGCTTTCCACTTCCATACATTTCCATAATTGTTTGAATGAACATATGTGAACATAAGAATAAGACCTACAGGTAGACTAGGTAGACAGCTTATTGGTCGTCCTGTACCATGCCATTACCATATAAAGTCCTAAGGTCATAGTTACCACGTACACAAATGGATAGACATCCTACTCCCCAGAGCTTTCAGGAGACAAATATACACAACCCTTGGGTTTAGGGTCGGAGGGTTTTCTTGTCGTTCCCCATGGGCGGCTCGCCGTCGCGAGCCGTTTTGAGGTGGATCCACTTGGTTAAGATTCTTGCTGGAGCGTGGCCTGGCAATATGCATGGCCTCAGCCAAGTTTCGCCGAGGCCATGGCGGTTTCGGATTTTCCCCGCTGGGGTTCTACTGATTCCCTGAGCTACAGGCCAGCTCGAGTCGGGCATGAAAGAATGAACATCCAGCAGTTCCATGGAGTTGGGGTGCTATCCATGGAGAGTAAGGGTGCCCAGCTACTCCACTGGGGACGAGCCACACCACCCAGGCCCTCCATGTGACTCCTGGATTGTGCTCCTACCAACAACCCGATGTGTTTCCTTGCCGAGGCTCCTCGGGCCAAGCGTGCGGCTTCGAAGATCCGGGTTGGGCCAATGTCTTGCCACACGTGGGCGGCGTCGAAGGGAAGCCGCAGATGGTGAACCAGGAGCGGCTGAGCAGCGCTGGTGGTGTCCCTTGGTGTGTGGGGAGTGAAGCAGCGACAACGATGGGGTGGGGAAGCAGCGAGAACGCTCCACCCCTCGACAAGAATTCTTGGCTCAATTTTCCTGGAGTGTGTATGGCAACTGACATGCAGCCACTCAGATGTCGTTTGCAAGATCTATAACCATTCTGGAGGTAGATCAAATATCATGTCCTTTGTCACTCAACAAGGTTAAACCATGCTTTTGGCACGCAAGCATGTTCTGTTCTTTTTTGGGGGGCAGGGGGTTCGGAAGGGTTCGGTATTCTTCAGCTGCCTGGGTCCGGGTGCAGGAAGGCTTGGTGGTGAAGACTCACAGCATTTGCTACGGCTGAAGCTCGGCAGCAGCAGCTGTCGAGTGTTCTCTTTGGCCGCCGGTGGCCGCAACGGTGGTCCAACCATACAAAGCTCCAACTATCCAAGGAGTGTCAATAGTGGAAGGGTTTGCACGTTGGAGACCCTGAAACACCATATAATGCTGCTATACCAATGTTCACTCCCCTAACATCGCAGTATAGGTATACCTATATTTTTCAACCTACTGTATACCTACTACTCGTAACATAGGTTACTGCTATACCGATGTGTTTGGTCGCTGCAGCTGTGGGGGGGGGGGGGAACCTGCATGACGAGGAGCGCCGAGCACTCGCTGGTCGCTTCAGCATCTTCCAGCCACGGTTTGGAGGTTTGGAATGACAGAGGCTTCCGTTGTGGAACCCTCCACTTCAAAGGTGGTTGATGATGTTGATGGGGGTTTTGAGCTTGTAACTACTATATATATTATACCTGTTGCAGCTTGTAGTAAAGTAGGACATCTCAAGCAAGCCTGGCCTTCCTGTCATCCTCCTCCCCATCCTCCTCCCTGCCATGCTCGCGCTCGCTTCTTCCGCCCCGCGAGCTGAGGCTGGTTGGGCGCGCCGCCGTGGAAGCGGCAAAGACTGAAGAACACAACGCTCACACGACCTGCAGCTGGGCGAGAGACGGGAGCGGAGCGTGGAGCGGGAGCGGAGAGAACCCGACCGACCCAGACCGTGAACGGCGAGACTCAGACCGACTCAGACCGAGTGAAGTGAATCACAATGTGAATTTTCAGGTCATCCTGTTGGGATTGGGGTTTGTGATGGTCGGTTTGCGTGCTTCAAACAAACTAAATGAAGAAGAGGACATGGCGATCAGATCAGAAGCTATAGTGCCCCAAATGTGGTCGATTGCGGTTGAAAAGACCGAACACCCGGGTGTGTGGCTCTAGGCCTGGTGGTGCAGGCCTAGACCCACCCCACCCAGTCTTCCCCCGGTGCTGGATGGACACCCAACCATAAGTCCATAAGTTGTTGAGGCCTCCAATGGGTCCAAATTTCGGAATGCTGCAGTTGCTTTGCCTTCTGATCCAATCCACTATGATCCATGATGATCTGTCATGATCCATGATGAAAAGTTCCGAACATACTCTTGGATCTGTGGATCCATCTATATAACATTTTAAAACCATTCTCCATGTTGGACAAGCTCTTGGAGTCCTGCCTCTTCTCCGCCCAAAGTCATGGCACCACCTCGGTCATGACCGAGGAAGCCTTGCAGTTCTTAGGACCCTTGTCGCTCCGGGAGCGGAGAGCGGATGGAGAGCCGGTGTCTCAGAAGGCTGATGGTAACGTGTGGCAACTATCCCACTTCTGATACTGTAGCACTTTGGACCAAATTGGATCAACCCAATGTTAACTCTTGACATTCGATCGGTGGGGTTGCCACTTGTAGCCAGTGGTCATCATGAAATAGGTTCGAAGCGACCAATCCAGCCAATCAACGAGCAGGTGCCAAGACTTTTTGTTGGAGTGGGTAGGGGGGAGTGTGCCGCCGGCTGGAAGACAGGCTGAGTGGCAGACGACTGTGCAGATGATTTGTGGAACCAGTTTTCTTGTTCGAGCAGTTTCAGTGCCAACTTGCCAGCTGAATGTGTTGTGGCAGGACCGCCTTTGCTGGACGAACTGGAACGGATCGGGAACTGCTCCTGGGCATTGTGGAGAGGACAGTCACCAAGAAACGTGTTACAACTTACAGTATGTTTTACCATGCGCAAGTTGTTATATAATGTATATACTGTTTTTGTTCCCAGAGGATAGATGCGGAATTTGCGGCGTGTAGGGAAGGTTTTGCCTGTTACTCCAATAGCTCTTGAGGCCTCAAAGACAAAAACCTCGTGTCTTGGGAAGGGTCACGTTGGTCTCCTTTCGCTTCCTTTAAAAGTTCTTCTCTTGAAAAGCCAATGGTGCTCAGGAAGCGACGATAGGGCAATGATAGTCCAGTTTTCTGACAACTCAAATCCACATGGGCTCAGTCTGACACCGGCTGTCCATGAGTGGTCAACCGAACGACCAAACGGAACCTTCTTTGAGTGAGGTTTGGTGTTCCCACCGTCCACGCTGGAGATGATGATCCGGGCTTTGAAGGGAAAGACGCCTGCTCAGCGGAAGCAGGCATGTTGGCGTGATTCCTCATTAGGGTTGATTGGAGGTAACCCCAAGGCACAAGACACCTTGTTTTGGTGAGATATATATCATTTAGTTCGTACAGTGCGAAAGGGAGGGAGGCAGAGAGAGAGAGAGAGAGAGAGAAAAGTTGTCCGTGGCCCAAAAACCTTGGCCCATCGAAGGGCAAACTTCCTGTTCCAGATGGACCCCCTAAGTTACACGGCCTGTCAAGTGACCATCGGGCCGTTTTCGGTTCGTTTCAGGTCTGACCGCTGCTTAAGAAGCTTCCTGCAACGAACCGAGACCCACCCCGCCGAGACCCGGATCTCCCGGATGCGTCGATAACCCGGACACGACCTGTTTGGGAGTGCCATAGGACTGCCGATCAGTTGGGGTGGTGGACTGGGGGTTAATTGGCATAGATGGCAGTCCCATGGAGTGTTTGGGCGATGATTTGTTGCTTACACCAAATCCGGAAACGATTCATCCGCACCATTCCCGTACTGCCAGGGCCTGCCAAACCCGGTGTACTGTCACGTCACGCCCCGGGGCCAAGTAGAGGGATTGGACGGTGTGGCCGAGGGAGTGGGCGGTGGAGTTCTTGACTCCAATGAAACTCATAAAAATTGATGAACATGGACGATCAAAGATTTAGCCGGTTATATAATGTTATACCTACATCTCACTTGTCCTTCAGAAATGTAACAAGGCAAGATTTCAGAGTGGAATTTGGACCTTGCAGAAAAGTACGCCCTTGTCAAAAAAGTACGCCCCTCCAGGGTTTTCTCATGTTTTGGTGTCTTCAAGAAACAACAACACTGTTCAATGATTTATACTTACAATCAACAACTGGATCTGTTGGCCAAGTGTTGGCCAGTCTATGCTTGCAGCCTGCTCAAGGAAACATGCCAGAAAGAGTGATCTGCACGCAAATCCTTTCTTTCACACCCCATTTCAAGCATCCGGTTCGGTCTTGAACCCAAACACCCCAAGATCTAAGTGACTTGTAGTCCACGGGTATCACTTTGTGAACTTTCCAAAGCCCCCATCGCACTGATGAGCGATCTTTGAACGCTCCTCAAGTGCAACAACCTAGGATCAACTCGCCTGCTGAGCCTTGAAGGCTTTCCAATATAGTCTTCTTCTTGCTGATTGCTCTCAGCAATTGGTGAAATGCACCAGTCAGCTCTTTGGGCCTCCGACATCAGGCGCCACCCACAGTGGTGAACCATGTGCAACTTGGGAACCAAAGCAAATCGGCTGGTGCCTGCATCCAAGCAGATTCTGGCACAGCGTGCATACCCCTGCACAAACTGCATGACCAACCTGCCACTTTGCAGCCCTTGCCGACTCCTGATCCAAAAGCCTGAGGAATACCAGAAGGCAATGGCAGCATTGATCGAGCTGCAGCTCTTGGCCTGACTTGTTCCAAAAAACGCTTGTAAACAGTTAAACATCAAAACCTTGGAGTTGACAGACCACAATTCCCAAAAAGAAAAGGTGTTTGTTAATGACATGGCTCAACAATGAGAAGAAGCTCATCATGAGCCTGATGCACCACACATCTGGTGCAGAAGTCCTCAAGCCACTGCATAAAGGCTGTGGCCGTACTGCCTTTGCTCCACTTGCCAACTGGGCATACACGGCCATATGGCCAGGACAACACCTCCCTGTTGATCTCTTTCTCAAGTGGATTCATCTTCCTTTGCTTCCAGAAGCGAGAGTAGTCATCGCTCAGATGCTTGATCGCTGCCTCAATGGTCATGGCCTGCAGCAAGGGAAGCCGCTCAATCAAGGAAACCACACTTGATGCCCAGAAGTGCTTCGACAATCCAAGGTGGAAGTTGTGCCAGATGTCAGTCAAGAAGAACCTAGCCTTCCTGGTTGGATCAATGGGCAGGCCTCGAAGGATCACAGGCTCTGCACGTCCATCCCATGGCAACACCTGATCGACTGTCGCAGCCCATGCAGGGTTCAACGCTGTGTCTTCCCATGGGATGGATGGTTGGCGTCCATCTGCTGACTGCTCTTGACCTGCCAGGCACAAATAGCATATTCCTTGGCATGGTGTCCTGCTCTGTGGCTGTCGCGCTACATGGGAGTGGGTTCTTTTGAAAGAGCCAAGCTTCGCAAGAGCAGGCAAGTCGCCCTTTGTGCCCACATGCTGGAAATAGATTCGCTCATTTGCATCACCATCTGAATCCAACGACAGGCCATGTGTGGCTAGGGATGACATGTCTTGTGCATAGGCAGCCACTATACCTGCCAGGACACCTGGATTCTCCTTCTCCACCTCATGTAAGAGGACTGCAGAAAGGAAGTGAGTGCTCCAAGTCGAACCTATGAAGTTCAAACCCAGCCCTCTTCGTCTCAAAGGCAAGGCGTGCTTCCCCTTGAGCACATAGCTGGACGTGCCCCTTCCCAAACATGAATGGGTGCTGAGCACAAATAGTGCTTCATGCTTGTATGTCCTGCCCTCATCAGTGTGTGAATAGACAGGGATCGTCCTTCGCAGACGCTCATCATCACCCTGCACAATCTGGAAGAGTTGGTGGTTTGGATGCAAAGCTTTGTATCTCTTCCAGAACTCACCAAGGACATCTCTCATGGCTCTAAGATTCTTGCACCCACACATTTGCATGGGCACTTGTCCCCGATCTAGCAGAAACTGCGCCCAGCTGCTGAATTTCAAGAAAGGAAATTGGGAAAGGCTCCCCAAACCAAGATTTAACTTTTCAATCTCGATTGGAGCTGCAAAGCCATATTTCAAGAACACTTCATGGCAGCCCTCTTCAGCATGCTCTAGGGGAATCTTGGCAAAGTCAACCATTGCCCGACTGGGGTTGGCATTGTCAGCCACTTCAGCTTTGGCGAGCTCCACGATGTGTGAAGCTGGGGCCTCGGCGACCCAGGCAAGAGAGAAAACCCAAGATGATTTGGGAGGAGTTGGCAGCAAGAGTGGAACTTCAATCATGGAACACAAAGGAGCAGTGCATAACACCAGTTTTGCTCACGTGCCTACCCTACACGTCGACATTGGTCTGCGCGACCTGCTACAACATACACAAAATAAGGAGGCTTGACAGGATTGGTCCTGTTAAGCGCTCCTTCCCCCCCACTGTCCGGCTTGTTCCTACAGCCGATGTGTTTGTGAAACTCGCTGATCAGGGCTGCTTCTAACATGTGAACTTTGTCCACACTTGGTGATTCACAAATGACATACATGTGTGAGTAGTGCTTCTTCTTGTATTCACAAAAACGTAAAGGGGGGTTGCTGGTGACCCCCACTTTGAATATGCAGACCCTCAAACCCATTTTTTCTCTTAGGCTAACAACCTGCTCCTTTGCATGCAGCAACAGTTTACCACACGTGACATTGTTTTGGGCATGACACCGATGGAACAGGTTGTATGGCCTAAGCTCAGCCCACTGAAACTTATGCGGGTCAAATGCATTGGCCACAGTCATCAAGTGCTGGATGTCCAATTGGAGAGATTCTTCCTAGGCTATGGGAGGGTCAGTTTGCAAGAATGTTCCACTGCCAAAACAGAAGAAAGAACCAACCAGAACAAAACCTACTAGCTAGTTGAAGCTTCATAGTTCTTCGTGATGGGCCGCTCTCCAAGGACCGCGGGAGACTTGACAACACCCATTTGCTGGTCCTCACCCCTGGTAAAGTAGTCCATGAACTCCAAGCTAGCCTTCTCAACAGGTAGTGGCGTCTCCAGCCTAACATGCACGTGGGTTCTGGAACTTGAAGGGTTGCAAGGCATTCCACTCAAAGATGGTTTCAGTTGCAAGCAAGACACTTGTTTTTTTTCTCGGAGGATGGAGGTTCATCACATCTTTTCCGTTTGGGAGTCTCCAGTTGAAAGTGCAGAAGTTCTCCAAACCAATCATCCATGGCACTCGGGTGGAGGTTGCCAAAAAAGATCACACACTGGCATGATGTACCTCCATGTTTGATTGCATAGGATGTGCTCATAATGCCTGCGTGCAAACCTAAAGCCAATGGCAATGAGGAACCCCCATGCGTTCATGCAGTGCCAGAGTTCAAGTGCACCACCTTGCTGGCAGAACTTTGGGCCCCCAGCTCCATTTCCAATCAGCTTGGCACAATTGCGGAGGACATTGCTCGACGTGTCCACGCGGTCATTGCGCAGGCACTGACCTGGCAAAACACAAAAACAAAACCAGCCCTTTTGGTGCAAGGTTTTCTAGCTAATGCCAAACGCCTTTTTTGTCGACTTTCCTTGAAGCAGGTTCTATCCCCAGGAGATGTGAAACCCCAGTCTTCAACAATGGCTCAAGAGCTAAGAGCTGTTGAAGTTCCGACAAAATGAACGTGTTATGCACGTTCTCCCAAATTCATCTCCAAAGTTAAAATTCACTCACTCCTTGCTGCCTTCAAGCTTTTGAGCATGTTCCTCGGATTGGGGAGTGGGTCGAGGGGTTGCCTTCAAAGACGGAGATTTGCCACATTGGAAAAACGATTTGCAACTATGGGGCCTCGCCAAGGCCTCTGTAGAAGTAACCTTTGTACACCTCAGGTTTTCCAGGTTCCCAAAAGTCTACATCAAACGTGTGTGATACTCCCATGAAGGCAAAGCCAATCTAGAGAAGGGACGCAGCATTGGTCTTCTTCATTTGGGAATCAACCTTTGCCAAGAGCCTCAGAGCTGGGAAACATAGCATGTGTTTATTTCTTTGAACAGAGGCCCATGGAGAGAAATAGGTTTCCTACTCTTTCTTCGTCTCCGCATCAAGGGCTTTCTTGGAAGCAAGCCCTGCAACCTCTGCCTTCACACCCTCACACATCTCATAGTGCTCCGCCAGGATGTCCACGGCTTTGTCAAGGTTCACAATCGACCTGGGCCACGAGAGGCCAGGCGCACAAATGCAAACAAACATGCATAACTCTTGCAACAATAAGGTTGGGGCTTGTTGGCCCTCGTACGTTCAGGGCTGTCATCGGACTTTGAACTCACAACCATCTCAATTTGAGTGATCAAGTCTGTTAGTTTTCCAGACTTTGCCAAGAGAGAGTCAGCAAACTTCTTGAAGTTGTTGTACTCCTGTGGGAAAAGGTGTCAAAAAGGCATTACAAAGAGGAACACAGAAGAAGTTCAGCTTTGTGTGGTCCTCTTTGGGGTCATTGGCCACAGTTGGTTCCCCATCCGATGCCCCAGAATCGTCAGCTGCTGCAGCAGCCAGGTCAAGAGCACGCCTGGTCTTGCCAAGCTGGGTCAGCTTGACAGGCCCGCCAGCCTTGGGAGCACACTGTGCGAGGTGTTCAGCATTAGTTAGGGGTGGCTGGAAATAAGTCTAGTACCACTTGTTCTTCTTCAATCTCACGCTCAATCTCCTCATCCATGCTTTCATTACCTTCTTCATACTCCACATAGTATTTCCAAAGCTGCTTGTTGTACTTGTCCCTCCTCAACAAAGGCAGAAAACCTTTTTGACATGAAGGTAATCTTTCAGTTTGAGTTCAAAGCATGGACACTCCATACCAAATCAGATGAGGAGTTCATGCCACGAC